ATATATATATATCATGTGTATATATATATACATGGAGACATCCAAAAAGGCCTGACACCTGATGAATACCTTAACCTTGACATGGCGTGCTGATTTCAGGAGTCGGCCTCGGGCCAAGACGGCGACGGCACAAGTGCCCACAGGCCTTCTTTTGGGGCCCTGAAGCTTCTTGCAGGGGCCTGAAGACATGTAGAATGGGTCTCTGCCATATAGCGTAGTATAAGAAGAATTCTTGGGGTTAGGGCTTGTAGGGCTTTAACATGCAAGTCTTATAATATTTTCTGGACTCCTCCGGGCTGAGGGTTGAGGGTTCAAAAACGGTGGTTTGGAACTTGAGGTCCACTTGGGGCTGTCAGAATCAGGTTCCTGCATCCCAACCTTAGTTGTTTTGGTACAACCGTCTTCAGAAACTCAGGGGTCTAACGTGGACCCCGAACAGTAGATCTCTTATTCAAGGGGTTCCCCCAAATAATGCGTTTTCAGAAGCTCCCATATTGACTGCAGTTCCTCATTTGTTATATTGCCCTTGTTGTTGCAACGTCACACACACAGAGTACTCTCTCAAAGGGTCTAAGTCGAAGTCCTAACCAAGTTGGTGTTTTCATCCTGCCAATCCACACTATAGTGCCTTTCCTAACCCGGAGCCCTCAGCCCGAACCCCATGCCTCCCTTTGAGAGCCCGGGAGCTCGAAACTCTTTTCCTAGCCTGGTGGGAGGTAAACTTAAACCTTCTGGGTAGTTCTCTAAAGTAGGGTCCCTTGATAGGTCCCCAATATAGTAAATACGGCACCCTTACAAAACGGACCCCAAAAGGGACCCTAGTGAAGAGAACTGCCCATATACTTGACCCCCCAGTAACGACGCTTCCCGAGCTTTGCTTTGAATCTGAAGGCACCTCCGCTCGCGCAGAGGCGCGACGACGGCGAAGTGAAGGTGTCTTTGATGCAACCGCGAGACCCTACGATTCAGGACTTGAGCTTTAAGGGATTACCAAGACCCCCACGTGCCCTCATGGTCCCTAAGTGGGTATAGCTACGATATTGTTTAATTAGTCTGCTAGAGTTTTTTACGTATACGATCTAGACATGATTGAGGGATACGGGCCTAGTGGGTTGGGTCTTATATACCCTGCCCGCGAAACCCTAAACCCCTAAGCTGTGAAAGCCCTACACCGTGAGTTTCCAGTTGTTGTGCTGCCTGCCCTGCCGTGTGCTAGGAGGTCTCGAGAGCCAAACCCTGCAGCCCTAAACCGTGCTGGATTCGTTTCGATTCTGTGGGTTTCCCTGGGTTCCTCCGGAGGAAACCCTAGCGATT